TGGTCCACCCAAAAAACCAGGAGGGGAAAAAAGATCAAACTAAGCAGAAAATTTGGAGGGTTTTGTTTTTTTTTTTTTTTTTTTTTTTAATTTTATTTTAATTACTTGGCTGATAACTGCAACACAAACCTTAGCTGCATCGCTCTTTGCCCTTATGAATTGTTATTATCCCTCCTTTCTGCCGGGTTGCAGAACACTCCCCTGTCCCCAGGGGCTGTCAGCTCCTCCTCAGGCGCTGAGTCAGCACAGCAGGTTAGCAGAGGGAGGATGGCTCAAGACATTCCTGAAAGCAGCACAACTTAACAGGTCTGTTTTAAATATTAAATTGGCTACAGGACTTAACAGAAATTTTCCAGTTCAAACCTGGTTTACTGGAAACAAAAGAAAAATGTTATGCAACAAAAGGAAAGCGTCTTTAGGATCTCAAAATCTTTTTAATAGAGGCCACCCTGAGAGCAGCTGGCCAAAAGAGCAAGGTCTATGTTTAATTGTTATATTTTTAAATATTTGAAAGTATTCACACCCTAATGTAGTACTCTGGTACTTTTATCTTGTAAGGATGGATAATTGAGGTTGTTCAATGGATGACTTCACCAGGAAAAGAAAAAAGAAAAAGCACCACCCTCTGGAACCAGTAGCTGATAAGCTTTACTCTCACCTTCACACATCTGCACACCACATTCCCACTCCCTCTCTGCTCCCGTCCCCCACACATGCCTCACCAAGTTCAGCACAACAGCATTCAACTCCAATCTTGTACAAAATAATCCTAGTGGATGGCAAGCAGGACGAGAAACCAAGTGATCCTGCGTGAAACAGCTCAGCCAGTGGGACTCTGAGTGTTGGAGTCCTCTGGCACCAGGCTCACCTGGTGAGATCCTCTTGATGGGAATAGCATCCTTACCCTCTATGGTATACAGATGATTCTTTGGCTCTCAACCCTTTTTCAATGACACACCCTACCAGACCAACCGCCTTATACTCCTAAAGCAGTTCCCATCTCCTGTTGCTCCCAAGACCTCATATATAACTTTTCCTACATTTCATCTTACAACTATTCTCATTCATAATCCACATCTTCAAAGACATACAAGCAGAGAAACAAACAGATGATGAGCAAGGCATGGATGCATCCCTCATCTCACTGTCAGCAGGGATTGCCTATCTGTAACCACATCAAATAATATGTGACCATGTTCTCTAAAGCAATTATTGCTTAACACATGGTGGGCAACCCTGTAGGCTTCTGAATCCCCTTTTAGTTTCCTTGCATCTCACTCTCAGTAAATCTGTACCTCCAGCTTGTTGAAGGTTCCTCAGAAAAGCCTGTACTCTAACAAAGAATTATAAGGAATAAAGCAAAAGTAAAGTTGCGAAATGCCTAAATTTATTCACCAATCAAGGTGTTTTTTGGAGTTTGAATCAGCTGAAGTCAGGATTTTATATACAGCATGTACATGGTTATGACTTAGGGCCAGGCCAATTGCTGAACAGCACGGATATCGCGAAAGGCTACTCTTCTCAATAGTGTGGCTTGAGGAGCAGAGATTAGGCTCTGAAGCAGATACATTTGTTGTGTCCATGTAGGTCTCATGTCCACCTTCCCTCATCGACCCCCATTAAAATTCAGGCTTCTTGGCTTCTTCTTGCCTCGGGTTGACTCTACTGGTCAACTTTCTCTTATCTATGATTGCCCACGTGTCATTCTCCTCAAGCATCTCTTTTTTCTATTTCCGTTAAGACGTCTTTGTTGATAACCCTTTGTTTTGCAAACAAATTTAATTATGATGACTTCTCTGGGCTTCAGCCATAGCTCTGTCCCAACATACTCTCACATGAAAAGGAGCTAACAGCATAAAATGATCCTTTATTATCCTGTGCTATCCTTTGTTTAGGAGATGGATGGGTGTGTGGGGGGGAGGGTTCCTCAAACCATGGTATCTAGACCCTCCTTGTTCATCTCCTGAGCAGCCTTAAAAAATGATTTGTAATTTCTATGCCTATATTTTTTCCAGTTTTATAGGAATGCTGTGAGATTCTGTTCATCAAAAGCTTTTCGTCAACTGCTGTGAAATCCTCAGATATGAAGTATTATAGATGTGACATATGTATTGTTACTTAAATGTATTTAAGTAACACAGTAATCAATCATTAAATGAATGATTATTAAACTCACACATGGAATTTGGATAACACAGTTCAAGATGGTCATGTAGTTAATGGTCATATAGTGATGACCTTCTCTGTTGCTCTCCTAGTTACTAAGTTATAATAAAAACCTAAAAATGCATCAGATATTTTTCTTTTCTTTCTTTACCACATTGAGAGAAAAAAAAATCACTGATGAATTATATAATGGTAAGGGGAGATAATATGGTTTGTATGCTGTAACACAGGCAGTAAACTTTTTGAAAGAATCTGAAAAAACTTCCTACTGTGCTGTTTAGGTAGCAAACTGAATCATTTCCAGGTATTTTGCATACAGTAAGTTATGTGAACTGTATATCACAGAACTGATGTTATTACACTGTGTTGTTGTTTATATTCTTTTTAGAGCTTTGTGGGATGTACACTGACTTCTGTGACCTTTCTGCCAGTTCAACTTGTCTCACAGCAGGGATAATCATGATAACCTCTACTACTAAATCACTTGGACACTGAGCACATCCTTTAACACTCAAACACCGTAGCACTGGTTTCGGTGTCACATAGGCATGCCTTATTGAAGATACCAACTTTCTTTATTTGCCGGTGTGTACACAAGCTATAATTAAATTCTACAAAATGCCCCTTGCCCCAAAGTCTTCCATTTCCATCCTGGTTTCTTAACATAGCAAATACAATGTGTTCTTATCACATTCAGCTTTTCCAGTTCTCATATAATTGCTCTTTGAAGGAGGAAGCGAACGCCTCTGTGTTCAGCAGAAGCATCTATAGACTTCCTTTTGAATTTCTTCATAACACTGTCTTTTTCCCTTCTGTATTAGACTGCGAGACAAAATAACAAACTTACAAAACACGGTCAATCACATTCCAAGTCACCAGCTGCATCATACACGATGTAAAACGTCACGCTACTCATCTCTGTTTCGGCCCTGCCTGGAAGGCCCTCCTCGGCTCCGTGTGCCAGGCAGGCAGGTCTCCCCCAGCCAAACCCCTCATGGAAACTTGCTCCTCCCACAAGGCCCACAAATGTTAACCAGTGTCACAGCGCTGCTGTCGTCACATCATAAAACCGAAAACGCACACATGCTCTAAGTTAGCACCATCCTCCGGGTCCCAAAGCACACGATTGCCCTGGCTGGCTGTTCAGATCATAAGGTCCTTGCAGCAGGAGTCATCTTCTGTACAGCCACTTCTGTACACAAGTGTGTCCGCGGGTGTGAACACAAACACACACCTTTATATAGATAATGCATTTTCCATTCCTTCTGTTTGCTGCTTCTACAAATATACCCCAGAGCATCTCTATATTTAAAGAAAAAGCATTTACAGACTTGATTCCCTATGTTGTTTTTTTTTTATTTTAAATCTGGGATTAAATTTGCCAAGTTTGCAGAGGTTACTTGAGAACACAGACTCGTACCCAAACACTGAATGAAACACTTCTGAACTCTTATGGGTGTTCAAAGTTTCATGGTTTGGATTCATATCAAGTAAAATCAAACGTCAGCTAATTACTTTAACTCTTGTCTGGATCAAATGCATTTAAGCCATATTGCTGAAGCGGTTTTAAGTGAATTGTTATGACTATTTGAAATCACAAGAGAATCAACAGTACAAAACGAGTCTAGCCTGTTCCCCACAAGAACACAAGTTGTTCTGTAAGCATGAGAACTAAGAGCATTTGATTTCCTATGATCTTACTGGTCACAACAACTGCTACTAATTTGTGCCTTTGTTGCATACCCACTTGTTAGGTGTCACAAACCTTTTTGAACCTAGTGCTTGAGCTCACCACAAGAACCTGGTATTTTTACTTCTGTAAAAAAACAGGCTGAAATAAATGGGCAAATGAATCCAAACACAATTGGAGAAATAGGAGTGCCTGGCACAGAAACAAGCAGTACAAAAATTCATTCCCTAAACATCATTACTTCAGAGGGCCAG